GGGTTTCATCCGTCTGCTCCCTCTGCTGCTCTGCTGGATGCCCACAGTACCTCACCCCGGCATGATGGGGCCAGACTGTGCACTGTTCCAGCATTGTGTCTCCAGTGCTGTCTCCCACAGCGTTATGGTTCAGTGAGGGGCGCCGTGTCCCGTGGTGGGGCCAGCCCTACAGTCCTCCCCATGCATTGTCTGCTCCAAGCAGGAACATCGTCCTTGGGGCTTAGTGGGCCAGGATGCCCTTTCCTCCCTCTCCATTAATCTTGTTACTCTCTATACAAATTTACCTATCCTGGGTTTTTCTCATTGCCCTCATCATTCTCAGTACATTTGCTCTCCACTGAAGCCCCTGGCCTCAGGTCCTCATTTTCCCCCCTTCCTCCCCGATGCCCTTGATAATTTATAAATTAATATTTGGTCATATCTTGCCCTGTCCAACGTCTCCCTTCACCCACTTTTCTGTTGTCCGTTCCCCAGTAGGAGGTCACATGTATATCCTTGATTTTGACCTCTAGGCATGTCCTCCAGTCAAGTCCGATGGGGTGCCTCGCTCTGGCCCCAGAGTCTATCCTTTGCAGTCCTTCAGGAGCTCCCTTCTCTGCTCCCACTGTTGCTCTGCCACATGGCTTTAGTGTTTTGCCTCCATGTCTTGACGTCAGACTGGGCCAGTGTTGTCCCCCATAGGACCATGGGTCAGCAGAAGGCGTCGTGTCTCATAGTGGGATCATCCATATGGTCCACTCTGCATTGGCTGTTCAGAGGGGGGATATCGTCCTCCAGGCCTGGTGGGCCAGGATGTGCTCTACTGTCTCTACCTCCCCATTCATTTGCTCCCATCTGCTCTGATCAGACATGTCCCTCTCCCCTAGCTGCAGCTTCAGTGCTGTCCTCTAAAGTAAATTCTTCTGCGGGGAGGGGCAGTTGTCCAAGTAGCTGGTATGGGGGCTGAGCCCTCAGGCCCCTCCCCTGGCTCCCCTCTCCATGCTGGCACACTGAATTTGCATCCTGGACACCAGATTTAAGTCTGGTCCCTCTTTCCCTTTGAAGACACAACTATACCTTCCCCTTTGGTGAGTCAGTGCCCGATTCCCCTGCCACACATCTCTCTTTTTTTTGTTTTTAACTTTCCTCCCCTCCCCCCACTTTTTAGTTGGCTACCATATGTACCCCTGGATTTGGTCAGGCTCCTGCCATACTACCTGGACCTCACCCCAGGAGGGTTTGTAGAAAGTAGCTTTTTCCCTGTGCCCCTTTGGCATTTTTCTTTTCTTTTTCTTTTTTAAATATAAACTTACCTAAGCAGACTCATGTTGTACTTGTCCTTTTGTGCTTGGCTTACTTCACTTAGCATCATTTCCTCCAGTTCTTCCCAAGCGGTGATGTGCTTCATGAGTTCATCAATGCTATTTAGCGATGTGCAGTACTCCACTGTGTGTATGTACCACAGTTTTTTAATCCATTCGTCTGTTGATGGGAATTTGGGTTGTTTCCAACTCCTTGTACTTGTGAACTGTGCCAAGTGGCACCTTTTAAAGCAGAGTCTTGATCCCCATTAACTCTAACTTAATCCTAAGGCTTGTTGGGGTATTAGCCAGGGTAAATGGTGTTAACCCAGAGGGCCCGAGGGCCTACCAATCACGCCTTCAGAGTTGGTAAGAAGGCCACAACCAGGATCTCTGGCAAATAAACTGCCAAACTTAGAGCATCGCAGAGTGATGCAGGCCCACCATGTGTGGAGGAATAGGAAATACACTTACTTCACTGTAAGACCGAATGCTGAAGGAAAATCTTTTGAAGGGAAAAAGGAGATGTACATCTGGAAATTGGCTAGGTCAAGACCTTAAGGACATATTGCCCCTGAATCACCTGAGAGCAGCAACTGCAGTCCATGTGTGGGCGCGCAGAAGGAAAGTGTGAGGACGAGCTAGTTCCTTCCCGAGTGGTTCCCTGTTCAGCCAACCCGTCATGAGGCCTTCTTTCGATCTGACAAAATTTCCTCTCTCAAGATGTCAAGTGTGCACTGTTGCCGGTGGAGTCCATATTCCACATGGAGAGTTTTGGTCATCTTATGAATTCTTACGAAATAATTAAACAGGAATCATTAAATGTGAGAGACTTGATATAGCAGTATATAAGTATGTAAATAGAAATGTTTTCCTAGACGCATAGGGAAACAAAAGAAAAACTCCCAGCCAGTACCTTGAGGCCGACTTCTAGGGGTCCCTGTGCTAGTACTAGCCCTGTGGGTTTCTGAGACTGTAACACTTTAAGGGAGCAGAAAGCCTCTTCTTTCTCTCTGGGAGCCGCTGGTGGTCTCGAACTGCTGACCTTGGAGTTAACACCCCAAAGGGAACACCCCCCCCCCCGCCCACACACAACTATATATTTTAGGTCACTAAGAATACTAAAGAATACTGCCCTTAGCTCACTTGAAAGCTGAGCTGGATACTAGGCCGGGCTTCGCTTTTTTAACCACCAAAGGGCCGAGGAAGCAGCCTGGTGACTTGGGGTTTGTATGTCAGCAGTGCCATTCATTGAGTGGAAGCTTTTTGACCATGGTCCCATTCACACTCAGCTGTCTCTTCAGGATTCGGTCTGTGATTTTCGAATGGGTAGTTGGAGGGCCCCTCAGAGGGTTCTGAAGACACTCTTTGCCACCTCCAGAGCGGATGTGAAAACCACAGCACCTGGTTCCCTGACACACACACCCTCTCCTGTGAGGTTACTAGGCTCGAGGCTGTTTGGCGCATGACTTCAGTGCCTGCCATGTTTGGGGAGAATGGAAATGTGCTTGTTTCTCCCTTGCACACTGCATAGAAAACAAACTGTGTTAGAGAAAATGCCTGCATCTGTTTGAGTAGGCAAAGACCTGAAATAAACATTCTCCCATAATCTCCACCTAAGTGTGGCCACCGTAATTCATGTCTCTACGAGTGGATATAAAGGAGGACGGGATTGCTGGTCTCTTTTTGAATGCGTCCTTGTGCAGCTGCTCCGCCAGGATGCATGCTTTCACAAGTCCAGGTTCCTAGCAGGCTCTTCAACCAGCAGCCACCTTCTCCTTTTCTAGAGAACCCATTCTCAAGCCCGGGAGTTCCATGTGTGTCTGCAGACAGTGTGACAAGACCAGTCTCCCTCACGCACTGCTGTCGAGTTGGTCCCGACGCTGGGAACCTGTCGGACAGAGTAAGACTCCCTCTGGGGATTTCTGAGACTGCAGCTCTTTCTTTCCTCGTGAACATCTACAGCAGAATAAAGACTGGGCTAGTCACAAGTAGAGCCCCTCCCCACTCAGACAGAGAGGCTTCCAAGCTTCTCTCCCCTGTGCTCCGCCTCCCGTGCAAGTATGCCGTTTTCCCCTGGTGCCATGCTCCGTGCTTAGGGCGTTTTTAATTATTCATGTATTTATTTTGCTTAGGGCTTTTATTATTGTGTGAGCCCGATTGAAAGCCTGTGGGCCAAGTGACACCTGGTTCCCACTGTTACTGAAATCTGGGCCTATGTGTGGGAGGTAGAAGAAGAGGGTCGCAAACGGTCCTAAGCCGAGAGCAATGCATGCTTTCTTTCATTGGGATGAGAGGGTATCCACACGAACGCATGATAGTCTGCTGCAACCAGAACAAAACTCGGTCGGTGTGTGTGTTTGTCTGGGACATAGAGAGTGTGTAAAGTGGCAGTAGCTCCAAGTACAGCATTGTAGACAAACTTTAAGATCAGTGGTGCTCACAGAGGTCACCTGCCTGTGTGGCACTTGGAGTTACCTTTTTGGGGTGTTATTCTCTGGTTCTTTGGGGTCTTCGGAGCAGCAGATCTCTACCTGGTGGCTCTCTACCTGTGACTTCCTGGGTCCACTGAAGGCGAACCAAGGCATCGACCACAATCTTCTAACGTTATGGTACTTGTCACTACTAAACTATTTGGGGTCAGACACCGTCAGATTACTCAGGAGCTTTTTGCTTAAGATAGCATTTGATGAAACACCTGGCATTACATTTGCATAACATCCAAAAGATGAATAGTTGAAATTCATATCAGTTTGTTTAGTTTCGGGGAATTATTATTGTTCTTCTACCTGATCTAGTCACAATAAAAAGGGGGGAAGAGCAACAAATCTTTGTCTTGCAGCAGAGCGAACAATATCCCTGTTGGCTGGATTGCGTGTACATGGCTGGCCGTCCCCATTCCTCGTGTTCACGACCATAGATCCCTGGGTGTCCGGGCATCCTGGCACTGAGGACACTGGACTGGAAAACAGTTGGACAGGTAACACTGCTCACACTCACCTCTAGGCGGTATAGTAACAAGTGAGTGCTCCTATTTTTTCTATAACGCTTTTTTCTTCACGCTCCCTTCAAAGCCAGGTGGCGCAGGATTGTTAATTGTATTAAATGACTACAGCAATTTCTGGTATTGGATCAAACTTCAGGGAGGGCTGCCTCCCAACTTGATTCATGTAGCACAGGCACACTGGGGGGACTATGAAATGGGCTTCCAGCTCATGACAAGGATCTTGAGTGACGTCTTGACTGTGTAGCTCCACATTAGAAACCCATGGAGGAGTGGGGAGCTGATCTGAGGACTATACCCTGTCTTGCAGATGATCAGAATCCACCTTAGGGTAGAAGGGGAGAGAGTTAGAAGTGTGTGTGGGTGGGAGCGCTTTCAGGCTCTCCCTGAGAGAAGACCTTTGACTCTGGGAGGGAGCATTCCCAGCTGCCAATGGGCACAGGCAATTGGAACCCCTTGAGGAGATCCATGTGTTGAAGGCCTAGGTCTTCTTCTCTGGGTTGAGCCTTCCTAGGTGACCCACTCAGGGTTTCTCCTGATCACCCTTGAATCGAGCACACTGGGCCATGATTCTCAGCAGGGCCAGTAATGACACGTTAATAAGCTAGAAAATGTGGGGTCCAAGGCAATTTGGAATGGGTTCAATGCCAAGAGATATGCCTGTGCACTGTCCAAGTCACAAGGTCAGTAGTTCAAAATCACCGACCGCTCCCTGGGAGAAAGACGTGATTTTCTACACCCGTACCCGAGTGACAGTCTCGGGAATCCAGAGAGGCAGGTCTACCTTGTGATACGGGGTTGCCATGAGCTTGCATCAGCTCAGTGGCACAGGGTGCAAGTCTTAGCTCCTTAGAAACCTATCTGAAAACACAATGACCTGAGGCCATGTGATTCTTCTAGCATGCGTGTGTGTCCAGGGAGCAGGAGAGATCTGGGAGTGTCCTCGTCCAGTTGACAACCGTGCTTCCCGAAGGAAAGAGATGATCAGGAACGTCTCTACTTCCGAGGACGTGGTTTTCTAAAATCTCATATGTGCAGCTTGTATTGGAAGCCTGGACTGAACTAAAAGGAGAAAGAAGTTGAAATTCACATGGAACTGGCTTGTCAGGTGTTCAGGAAGTGCATGTTGACATGGGATGGGCTTCTACTCGCATGATCACCTACATGGCATTTAAAGGGTTGGAAAACAAACAGATCTGTGTGTCTGTCAGTCTGTGGGACATCGAGTGCTTTAGTCAGGCTTACATTCCTGTAGAATTCACCCCATATATGAAACAAATGGCCTTTGCAGAGGGCACCTGCCACTATGGCACCACGTTTGAAAGGAAATCCATCTATACACATATATATAATTTTAATAAGTGATGAGCTAAAATAACCATTCTCAAGTGATCTTCAATTAATATCGGGCACTTAAATTCATTTCCCAACTCGTGCATATAAGATGAGGATGAGATTGTTGGTTTCTACTTGATTGTGTGCACGTTCAGCTGCTCCATCGCAAGCATGCTCTCAACAGTGCTACCTTCTCCATTTCTTTCTTTTTTATATAATCATCTTATTCAGGGTGCTTACAGCTCTTACAACAATCCATCCATCGTGTCAAGCACATTTGTATATTTGTTGCCATCATCATTCTCAAAACATGTTATTTCTACCGGAGCCCTTGGTATCAGTGTATCTTCACAGACAACAGCCCCCCCCCCCTTCTCCGTTTCTATGGAACATATTCTCTCACCCCAATTGGTTTCATGTTGTGTCTGCAAACACAAGTGACCACACCAGTCTCCCTCATTGGCATGGCATCGTGAATTATCCTCACCATGAAGGAAGGACTGGTCTAGGGATAGGTGAAGCCCCTCCAGCCCCCAGACCGACAGGTTTACCAGCTTCTCTCCCCGGCTCTGCTCGGTCTCCCACGAAAGGGTGCTCTGCTTTCATTTGACCCTGTGCACACCCTGCTTAGGGTTTAAGCCACTGGCTAAACCCTATGGGAAGCATGTAGGTGAAATGGCACCTCCTCCCCACTGGAAGACAGGTCAGGTCAAGGTGTAGAAGGCAGAGGACCAGGCTTGTCAGTGCCCCCACTTAAGCAGTAAGGGATGTTTCCTCAGATTCAAAGACTAAAGTGCTACTAGGCCTGGCTTGGTTTTTTTAATTTATCAAAGGGTGGAGGGAGCTGCCAGGACTACTGGGATGCTGGGATTTGTGAGTCCACGCTGCCATCAAGCAGAACGATATGTACTATGGTCTCCTTTCCACCACAGTTATATTCAGGGTAAGGGCTGTGGCATTAGGCAGAAGGGTTGGAGGTTACTCAGAGGACCTTAATAGTCAACCTTGCCACCTCCAGAGCTATTGTGAAAACTGCAGGGCCTGGTTCCCTGAAAAATAAGCCCCAGACTGCCAGCACCGGGAACCTCAGACTACCGCTATCTGGAAGCGGTGTGGCATCACGTTGACCTCGGTGGCATTTTTGTTTTTTTTTTGAATAAGTGGAACTCTGCATGTATCCCACCCACACTGCGTGCCAAATCACACATTTTGAAAACATAAGTTTGAAGAGGTGACGAGCTGAAATAAACGTTTCTCCAACAGCCTCTGCCGAAGTTAAGGCCACTTAGGTCCGTTCGCCTTTGTGCAGATAAAAAACTAGCATGAGCTTGCTGGCCTCTTGAGTACATGCATGATCAGCCCTCCATCAGCCTGCCTTCTTGCAGACGTCCAGGAATTCTTCCAAGCCCCTACAGGAACCGGGTGGCTACCTTCTCCACATCTACAGCGGATACTCAGCCCAGCAGGGTTCACTTTGGGCCTGCATACAGCTGGTAACAATCCTACTGTCGTGATGGTAACTGGAGCGCCTTCTACACCCGGAGAAGTATTCAAGCGTCCCTCCTCTCTCGTAAGTCGCCCGTGTGTTCGTGCCAAAGTATGCACTGCTTTCCTTTGACCTCATGCTCCTTTCTTAGGGTATTTTCTTAACAGTTTCATTGGTCTATAATTCAATTCGGTAGTTCAGTCACATCAAGAAGAGTTGAACAATCATCACCACATTCACTTTTAGAACATTTTCTTCAATCTTGTACTCCTTGTCACTAGCTGCCCCCCTCTCCCCCCCCTCCAGAGTCATATCCCCAAGGAACCATTCATGCAGTCGCTGTCTCTAGATGTACCTGTCCTGGAACTTTCTCAGGATGTCTGTTACCATCCTGTGTGAACCCTATTGAAAGCACTCGGGGAAAAGGAAATCTCACTTCCGAGAAGAGTTGGGTCAGGGTATAGAAGGGAGAGGCTGGCAGGTGGCCCTAAGGCAATGACAATGGATGTGTTCTTTGATCGGGACGAGGCTCTGTCCACAGTGATACATGCATGTAAATGTGATCCTAACATAACCAAACTCGGTGTGTGAGCGCGCGTGTGTCTGGGGCAATGAGTGCGCACAGTGGCCGGACCTCCAAGTAAAGCTTTACAGTAAGACTGAGAGAAAGGCCCCTCGGAGCGGTCACTTACTGTGTGGCAAATCGTGGACTCTCCTTTATTTGGGCTGCTCTTTGGAGTCTTGGGTTTTTCCCTGATCTAGGAACCTCCACCGGGGACAACAAGTAGGCAGTAAGTCACGGAAAGTGAATCAAAGTGAGCGACCACACTCTTCTGACATCACTTGCCAAAAGTCAAAGCCACACAGTGTGTGTTGTAAACAAAGTATGTTTGAGTAGCATGATTTGTAGTAGTAGTAGATTGAGTAGTAGTAGATTTCACAAGAGCTGCTTGTTTAAGAACCTAGTTTTCAAGACTTCCTGGCGGGCATTTATGTAAATCCCCCGGATTGAGCGAGTTTACTTCATATCGAAAAATGTTTTTAAGAAGAGTACTGTTGTTCTTCTATATTGACGTAGCGCCCTTGCAAAGGAAAAGAAAAGCACCACCTCTCTATCCGTCCGCCGAGCCGATCATGTCCCTGTTGGCTGGCTTGCACGTACGTGGCCGTCGGTCTCCAGCTCCCTGGTTGACGGCAGTGGCGTCTGGGTGTCTGCGCATCTCCATGCTGATGGAAGTAGACTGGAAAACAAAGCGAGAGGAGAGACAACACTGCTCCCCTCTAGGCGGTGGAGTCACAGGTGAGTACTCCTTTTTGTCTATGGGTTCCTAATTCTAACCAGGTCCCTTCAGATCCAGGTGGCACAGGGCTGCTCATTTAATCAAAGAACGACAGTAGTTTCTGGTGTTGGATCTAATTTCAGGAAGATTTTTCTTCCCAAATGGGTTCACATAGCACAGGAACATTGGGGGACTATGAAGTAGCCTTTCAGCACATGACGAAAAGGGTCTTATTGTGCAACTCCACATTTCAAACTCATAGAGGAGTGGGGAGCTGATCTGAGTGTACCCTATTGTGCAGAGGATTGGAGGCCTCCTTAGTGTAGAGGGGCAGGGAGTGTAATGGCAGTTGAGGCCATCTCCCTGAGACTTGGGGAAGGGGCATTCCCAGCTGCCAGTGAGGGGCCAATTGGAGACCCTTGAGAAGATCAACTTCTTGGAGGCTTTTGGCGTTCTTCTCTGAGTTGCACCTTCGCACCTGTTCCACTCTGGAGTTCCCTTGACTCGAACACGCTGGGCCATGGCCCTCAGAAAGGCCAGTGGGAAGGTGCTAACCAGCTCTTACTGGGCCTAGGGTATTGGCAGGGGCATAGGGTGAGGGGGCCGAAATCTCTGTGCATCTCCAAATCTTTTCTCCACGAAAACTGTCTAAAATGACACTGACTGGAGGCTTGTGAGTCCTCAGGCAGACGTGTTCAAGGAGCAGGAAAGCTCTGTGAGTGCCCACCACATCAAGGTGACAGTGGGGCTTCTCTGAGGAAATGGATTATCGGTAGCTTATCGCTGCACATCAGTGTTAGAAATGCACGTTGGGGTCGCCAGTTGAAACTTGATTAGCTCAGTGTTTCTCAGCAAGGCAAATGTGACTTCTGCAGAAAGCTGCTTGGTGGAATTCAGTGTTACCAGCAAGCACACTGGGTGTCGGGCAGTCTGCTGGGTGTTTTAGCCCCAGTGCGATTCACCCCGATACTGTGTCAACTCCGCCGTGGCTGAGGGGCTGACCTCACAATCTCACTTGTCCTGGTAGGCTCCTTTGACCTTTGGGTCCTTGACAGGGTTTGGGGGAATACTGCCCTGGCAGGCTTCCACAGGACATCTGTCTGGGCCGTTCCAGGAGGAATGTGCTTCAGGGCAAAACATGGTCCGAGTCAGACCAGGGCAGAGATATAGCATGCTTTCTTTGAAGAGTAGATGGGCTTTGTATGCCTCCCACAAGAGGACCTGGTTCTCTTGTGATTTGATGCTTGGCAGCCTCCCTCTTTAGGCGGTGTGGACATTCCCCAAAGGGGGTAACAATTGAGATTCACTTGAAATTGGCTTGTCAGTGAAGTGGGAAGAACGTTAACATTGAAATGGAATGGGGCTCCTCTCACATGATCACCCACAAGACATTTAAAGGTTCGGGCAAACAAGCCAAACCGTGTGTGTGTGTGTGTGTGTGTGTGTGTGTGTGTGTAAGTCGGCTGAACCTTCATGGACACATTCACAGTAGAGACTAGTACTAATGGCCCTTGCAGAGGGCCCCTGTCATTTTGACACGATTGGGCCTCCTCACGATCTGTAGACCACGAGCTGGGGCAGTAAAGGGCCAATACTGCACTACCTGCCGTGCCTAAAGGTGAGCCACAGTATCACCCAAATTGCTCTCTGACAAGGCAGGGTCACTGTAATGGGTCTATTGCCATAGTGCCAAGTCTCTCTGGCCTGCGGCGCCTCCGTTTTTCCCCTGGGCCAGCTACCTCAGTGAATCCAAGAGAGCCAATGCAGTCCTGAGGAGAGACATCAAGGCATTCCTCTGGACTTAAGCAATAAGGGAAGCTTGCATCTGTGCGCGTCTGGCTACCTGTTAATAAAGAAGTCTCTCGTTGGTGTTGTAAAGAAGCAGATGTGATAATACTTAAGTTACGTATGCATATAGAAGGACATTCATACTGAAGTTCATACATGTACACATAGGTGGTGGTGGTGTTTATGTGTCTTAGATGTTCTGCAGTCAGCCCCATTTCATAGCGACCCTGTGCCATCCTCTCACAATGGTTGTTTGAGCCCATTCTTGGAATCACCATGTTCATCAATGTCTTTGAACATTGTCTCCCTTTTCTGATCTTCTACTCCCCAAAGTTCCTGAGAGGAAGTCTTCCCTTCTGTAGAACGTTCTGCCTGTCCTTCTTCCAAAGCCAATACGTTTCTTCGTCTGCCTGTTCATGGTGTTTTCAGTATGCGTCTCCAACATTACATGTGCATCCTTTCTGTGGCCTTCCTCATTCTTGGTCTAACTTTCACTCCAATATGAGGTGATTGAAAATACCATGACTCCGTTTAGGCACAATGTAAGTCCTCAAAACGACATCTTGGTCCAAAACTCTTCAAAACACTTCAAAAAGTCCCTGTGGAAGAACTCCATTTTCTCTTAATTCTATTTTTCTGGCAACCTTTGAAGACCTCTAGTGTACATACATATATGGGCATAAACATACATGAAATATATACATCTTATCAGGAAGAACAAAGACAGGAACACTTTCCCTCACAGTGTAATCTACTAAATACACTTTCCGTCTTAGGTGGCTTCTGGGTTTTGTGTCAGCCTTTTTTTTAGCCAGGAAAGGGTAGAGGGAGAGGCAGGGAGAGGAGGGCTGCTGGGGCTTGTGAATCCACGGTGCCATCGAGCGGAAGCTTTTTCGTTTCGTTTCTATTTTTTTTAAATAATCATTTTATTAGGGGCTCTTACAACTCATCACAATCTGTACATACGTCATCTGTGTCCAGCACATCAGTAC